AATGCTGCGCCTGCCACGACTTCGGCAACGGCATCGCCAAAGTGCTGCGCCTGCCACGATTTCGCAACGGCATCGCCAAAGTGCTGCGCCTGCCACCATTTCGCAACGGCATCGCCAAAGTGCTGCGCCTGCCACGATTTCGCACACCCCCCGCCGCGCGCGCGACAACATCCTGTCCCTCTAGACAGCTGCCGAATGCGACCCCTGCCACACAAACACACACCCAGATGCACAGAATGCTGCGCCTGCCACGACTTCGGCAACGGCAACGCCAAAGTGCTGCGCCTGCCACGATTTCGCAACGGCATCGCCAAAGTGCTGCGCCTGCCAAGATTTCGCACGCCCCCCGCCGCGCGCGCGACAACATCCTGTCCCTCTAGACAGCTGCCGAATGCGACCCCTGCCACACAAACACACACCCAGATGCACAGAATGCTGCGACTGCCACGACTTCGGCAACGGCATCGCCAAAGTGCTGCGCCTGCCACGATTTCGCAACGGCATCGCCAAAGTGCTGCGCCTGCCACGATTTCGCACGCCCCCCGCCGCGCGCGCGACAACATCCTGTCCCTCTAGACAGCTGCCGAATGCGACCCCTGCCACACAAACACACACCCAGATGCACAGCGAGTGAGTGAGTGAGTGAGCGAGTGAGTGAGTGAGTGAGTGAATGAGAGTGAGTGAATGAGAGTGAGTGTGAGTGAGTGAGTGTGAGTGAGCGTGAGTGAGTGAGTGTGAGTGAGCGTGAGTGAGTGAGTGTGAGTGAGTGTGAGTGAGTGAGTGTGAGTGAGTGTGAGTGAGTGAGTGTGAGTGAGTGTGAGTGACTGAGTGAGCGAGTGAGTGAGCGAGTGTGAGTGAGTGAGTGTGAGTTGAGTGAGTGTGAGTTGAGTGAGTGAGAGTGAGTGAGTGAGTGAGACGGAGACGAGCGGGAGGAGGAGGAGGAGGAGACGCGGCGCGCGGACGACGAGCGGAAAAAGTAAGAACCCCACACAAAGATGTGGGGAACAACAAAGAACAAATAGCAGATAAGAATAAGACATATAGAGAGAATAACAAAGACACTTTAAAAGAACAGAAAAAGAACTATCGTGAAAACCATAAAGACGAATGAAAACAAAAAGCAAAAGAATATAGAGAAAAGAACAAAGAAGACATAAATGAAAAACAGAAAGACTATAACCAATTGAAAGTAGAATGTCCTTTATGTAAATGTAAGGTAGGAAAATACAAAATGAAAAAAACACCAACAAACAAGTAAGCACCAACTAAGAGTGAAAGGTCAAGAAAACAATAACGATACTGTGAGAGAATATATGGAAACAACAAGTGACTTTGAACAAGAATAGGAATAAACAAATGAACCACCAACACCCCAGAACATAATAACTACTAAAAGGGCTAACTCTTTCAAATGAAAAAAATGTCGGCCCCCAGAAAATCCACCCCTAACACCCTACAACAAAATATAGGATGAAATCAAACAAGGATGTTAAAACGTTGGATAACAACATTTGACCCAATAACCCCAACACTCCTCCCTCTTCCCCCCAGGCCCCCTACTTTCTCCATTTTTTCCCCCCCCCCCTCCCTCCCCAAGATTTTCGGCAAAAAAAACACTTCCGAAAAACGGATTGTTTTGACAAAGAACCCGCGCGCGAAAAAACAAGGTTTTCGGTCCAAAAAAAGCACACACAAAAAAAGGCATAAAAAGCATGTCCTTAATGACCGGCCAGTAGTAGGCCAGCAGCGCGGCCGAGATGGCGCCGCTCGTGTCCGCGTCCTGCGCCGTGCCCGTTCGGTAGTCGACCAATAGCGCGTCCACTTGTGAGGAGGTGTAGTAGGCCAGCAGCGCAGCCGCGAGGGCCGCGTCCGCCGCTGCGACGGAGTAGCAGTCGGCCGTGATGCTCAGCGTGTTGTCGCCGTTGGCCAGCGCAGCAGAGGCTTCCGCAAACAAGCTCCCAAGTCGTGAAGCCCGCCCAGGCCGGCGCGTTAGCAATTCCGCTGCCGGAAAGCTGCAGGGCGGCGAGCTCCGCGAGGAGCGTGGTCTCGCTGGCGGAGCGTACGAGGCCAGCAGCGTCGCGTCGGCCTTGGCCCCCTGAGCGCCGAGATGCTGGCGTCCCGGCTAGCAAGCTGCGCTGCGACGAAGGCCTCGGTGGCGAGACCCAGCAGGGCATTTGCTATCTTGGTGTCCACCTCCAGTGGCGTGTCCAACCCGTCCACCGTGGAGAGCAGGGCGGCCAGCGCGCTGGCGTCCGCCTTGCCGACGAGGGCGGCGTCAGTCCACCTCCGAGGAAGTGTCGACGGCCAACTGCAGGGCGTACGCGGTCAGCGCGCTGGCGTCCGCCTTGGAGGCCTGCAGGCCCAAGCGTCTCGACTCGCGAGCTCGGAGGCCAGCGCTGCGGCGGACACGACGCCCAGGGGAGCGTCGAGGGAGTGCTGGTCCACCACCGTCTTGAGGCCGTAGTTGGCCGCCGCCGTGGCCAGCGTGGCGTTGTTGGCCGAGGCGATGGAGCCGTTCATGGCTGCCGTGGTGCTGTAGTTCGACAGCTTCAGGACCACGCTGTCGGGGGTGCTCTTCGTGGCCACCACGCCCTCCAGCACGTCGAAGGCCGCTTGTTCGAGAGACCCGTGGTCAGCGAGCTCTGCAGCGCTGCGATGCTGCTTCCGTGCGCGGCCGCCTGCCCGTCCGTGGTGGCCAGGGCTGCTGCCGTGGCCAGAGGAGCGATTGCCGGCGCCAGCGCGCTGCTGTCCAGCTTCGAGGCCAGCTCTGCGGTGACCCCTTCTTCCAGGGACTGGATGGCGGCTGCGTTGTTTCCGGACGCTGCCGTGTGGCAGGTTGCCGCGTCACGAGCGCGTCGCGCTTGGGCGAAAAACGGAAAATCCTGTGAAGAACGAAGTCTTCGGGAAGTGGGGAAATTGGCCGGTTTTGCGCACTTTTTCGACCCAAAAGAGAGCGGTGACGAAGCGGTGACAAGTGGTGACAAGCTCAGCGGGATGGAACTTGCCAGCGTTTCCGGGCAGAAAACGGAAATCGAGAGCTGCGTGAGCTTCTGGAGCCTGTTTTCGGTCGAAACCGAGCAAATCTGCAGGCTCAGGCGCCTCGCTTGCCGTCTGACAGGAAAAAACGAACTTTTCGGGAATTTGGGAAGTTGGCCGTTTTGAGCACTTTTTCGACCAAAAACGGAGCGGTGACAAAACCGGTGACATCGGAAAAACGTTCAGCAGGATGGAGAATTTGGCTGTTTTGCAGGGGTTTTCGGAAAATTAATTGGTCCCTATGTTCCTTTTTACCGTATTTGCGTCCCGCGCTTCATGACGTCCTGCCAGATGCTCAAGAGCCACATCGCCAGCGCGAAGTTTTGCGGCATTTGACGAGAGGCGCCAGCCAAGAAACATACCAGTGACAGTGAATCACTAGCAAACAATCTGAAGGGAGCAGCAATAGGTCACGAAGCGTCGCAGGAGCAGATCAGGGTCCCGGTTCCCAGATATTATGTGTGTATGTCAGTCATGTGATGTAGTGCAATTCAATGTAATGTATGTAATGTAATGCAGTGCAACGTAATGTAATGTAATGTAATGCAATGTAATGTAATGTATGTAGTGTAGTGTAGTGTAGTGTATTGTCATGCGTTGCGTTGTAACGTAATGTAATGCAATGTAATGTAATGTAATGTATGTAATGTAGTGTAGTGTATTGTAACGTGTTGCAATGCAATGCAATGCAATGTAATGTATGTAATGTGACGTAATGTAATGTAACGCAATGTAACGCAATGTATGCAATGTATGTAGTGTAGTGTAGTGTAATGTAATGTAATGCAATATAATGTAATGCAACACAATGCGAGGTAATGTATGTACGTATGTAATGTAATTTAACGCAACACAATGCAAGGTAATGTATGTAATGTAATGTAATGTAATGTAATGTAATGTAATGTAATGTAATGTATGCATCTATGTATGTGTGGAGTGTAATGTATTGTAAAGTAATGTAATGTATGTGTGTGTAATGCAATGTATGTATGTATGTGTGCATGCATGCGTGTATGGATGTATGTATGTATGTATGTATGTATGTATGTATGTATGTATGTATGACAATTTGTGTATGTATGTATGTATGTATGTATGTATGTGTGTGTGTTCACGCGTGTATGTGTGTGTGTGTTCATGTATGTATGTATGTATGTATGCACGTACGTATGCGTGCATGTAATGTATGTAATGTAATGCAATGTAACGTAATGTATTGTATTGTAATGTAATGTAATGTAATGTAATGTTTATGTATGGTAATGTGTGTGTAGGTATGTAATGTCTGTATGTATGTATGTATGTAAGTAAGTAAGTAATGTATGTTTGTGTGTATGTATGTATGTATGTATGTATGTATGTATGTATGCACGTATGCAAAGGAATGTAACATAATGTAATGCAATGTACTTTTTGCTGACAATATTATCCCAAAACGTACATGTTGCACGCTCACTGCTCTGTCGTCATATCCTTGCCTGACCCCCACGTGCCGACCTCTTCCCTCGAAAGAATCTTGGAGTGACACTTGAAGAGTTTATTGCTAGTGGCTGGTGAACTGCAAGTGCAGCGCAGGAAAGGAAACGGGTCCCAGGTTGTCACTGATTGCGCATTGCTGCTGCGGTGCAGGCGTGGTCTCCTAGCCGACGCCTCGAGGCATCCACAGGCTGACGCCTCGGGCGCAGCGCGGGGATGCAAAGCCAAGCAGAAGTGGGCAAGTAAGAGCTGGACGGGAGCCCCCGTGTTGCTGCCATTCGAAAGCTTGAGTGAACTGCAATTAGCCTTGTTGCATGGACGGCGTGTTCCTTTTGCAGGGCTCAGCTCCGCAGCTGTCAACAGAAAGCGTCTTTCATGCGCCCAAGCACTTCGGTAGGTTTTGTGGACGTTGGGGCAGAAGCTGCAGAACGAGACTGCGTCGGCGCATTTTGACACTAAACAGGATAGGTAGGGAGCATCCCGCCATGGCCCTCGCTGCTTTTAGAGAGAAGCTGAAAGAGTGCAAGCTGAAGCAAACTCTGCATGAAACGTTCAAGCAGAAACTGAAAGGAACTGTGCGCAGTTTGCAGACATCCGCTGATCAGTTGAGCCAGGTCGGCGACAACCGGGACAAGCTTACCACACAGTTTCAACGCAGTTGGCAGCAGCAGGAGGCCCAGCTGGCAACGCTGGACGCGGAGTTTATCGCAGCCGTGATCGAGCAGGAAGATTTCAACGCTATGTACTACGACCCGCTGACGCTGCTCCCAAGGAAGGCCTTCTATGGCAAGCTGCTGAAGATGCTGGAAGGGAAGCCGCTGGCCCTCGTGTTGACCTCCGCGGACTTGGACAACTTCAAGTTGCTGAACGACTGCTGGTCCCATGCGCACGGCGACTCCGCCATCATGCAGGCGGCGGACTGCATCTACGAGCACTGTGAGGCCTTCAACGCAGGGCAGTCGGACGTTGTGTGCGTGCCCTTCCGCTTTGGCGGCGACGAGTTCGTGATGGCCTTCATCTCGCACGAGGGTGCGGACTTCAAGCAGATCAAGGACCTCTCGGTTAATCCTCTCCAATCCCAAGCCTTCCTCTTAAGACCCTGCGTATAACACACGGTTGCAAGCCAAACCACTTAGCGCTTCTTTGCCACTGTTCGGCGCACTGTTCCGCGTTGGTTTCGAGAGTTTGTCTTGTTGGGGGCATGGCAGGACTGCTTGGAGGAACTGCGCAAGACCGTCGTTGAAAGCCTGCGGAAGGTCTTCGACTTCAGTCGCCTGAAGCTGAAAGAAAAGCTCGTCGACCGCGAGGGCAATGCGATCACGGCCTCAGGCCCGGCCATCAGCATCGCAGCGTCGGACCCAGGGAGTTGCAGCAAATCGCTTTGGGAGCTCCACCGCCTCTACGTGAAAGCAGACGAGCATCTGAACAAAGCAAAGCCAACATTCAAGCAGGGAGAAGACCCGCAGGGTGGCGTGCAGGTGCAGGCAGATCGCATCGCAGGACTCTCCTTGGATTCGTTTCTCAAGGATCTACGAAACTTTGCAGCTGGCGAGGCCCGTGAAAAGGCCGCGGAAGCGCTCCGGAACCTGGCGACCAACGCCGACAACGAGATTGCCATCGCCCAGGCCGGGGCCATCTTTTCGCTGGTGGAGCTCCTGAGCCGCGGCACGCCCGTGGGTCAGGAAAACGCCGCGGCAGCACTGGGAAACCAACGACGACAACCAGATTGCCATCGCCAAGGCCGGTGCCATCCCTCCGCTGGTGGAGCTCCTGAGCCGCGGCACGCCTGTGGGTCAGGAAAACGCCGCGGCCTGACGAGCAACTCCGACAACAAGATTGCCATCGCGAAGGCCGGCGCCATCCCTCCGCTGGTGGAGCTCCTGAGCCGCGGCACGCCTGTGGGTCAGGAAAACGCCGCGTCAGCACTCTGGGCCTGACGAGCAACTCCAACAACGACTATGCCATCCCCAAGGCCGGCGCCATCCCGCCGCTGGTGGAGCTCCTGAGCCGCGGCACGCCTGTGGGTCAGGAAAACGCCGCAGCAACGCTTAGCAACCTGGCGAACAACGACGACAACCAGATTGCCATCGCCAAGGCCGGCGCCATCCCTCCGCTGGTGGAGCTGCTGAGCCGCGGCGCGCCCAGGAATCAGGGATGGGCCGCGGCAGCACTCCAGCACCTGGCGGCCAACTACTCCGACAACAAGATTGCCATCGCCAAGGCCGGCGGTGGAGCTCCTGAGCCGCGGCGTGCCCTGGGGTCAGGAACGGGCCGCGGCAGCACTCCAGAACCTGGAGGCCAAGTACTCCGACAACAAGATTGCCATCGCGAAGGCCGGCGCCATCCCGCCGCTGGTGGAGCTCCTGAGCCGCGGCACGCCCGTGGGTCAGGAAAACGCCGCAGCAGCACTGGGAAGCCTGACCAACGACGACAACCAGATTGCCATCGCGAAGGCCGGCGCCATCCCTCCGCTTGTGGAGCTCCTGAGCCGCGGCACGCCTGTGGGTCAGGAAAACGCCGCAGCAACGCTTAGCAACCTGGCGGCCAACTCCGACAACCAGATTGCCGTCGCCAAGGCCGGCACCATCCCGCCGCTGGTGGAGCTCCTGAGCCGCGGCACGCCCGTGGGTCAGGAAAACGCCGCAGCAGCACTGGGAAACCTGACCAACGACGACAACCAGATTGCCATCGCAAAGGCCGGCGCCATCCCGCCGCTGGTGGAGCTCCTGAGCCGCGGCACGCCCGTGGGTCAAGAACGGGCCACGAAAGCGCTTTGGATTTTGACCTTTTACCCCGAGGGTTTGGCAGCTGCGAAGGCTGCGGGCGCCTTGGGTCCGGCTGCCGAGCTGAGCGTGCACGGGACCGCAGAGGCCCAGGCGAGCGCCAAGAAGTTGGCTTCGCGGCTGCAGCCCGGACGGTGACGGCTCATGCCAAGTTTTTTCACTTAGAAATTTGCAGAGGCACCTCAAAACTGAGGGGCGCATCTCGGTGCTGAGGCGGAGGAGGGACAAGAACCTGACAAGGAACAAAAGACATTTTGGCTTGATGGGGTTGGAGATTTGAGCTTTGGGGGAGTTGTGGGGCTCAAGCTTGGAGGAACCCCTGAAAGAAAGACCTTCAACCCTCAACAGTCTCCCGGGCCTAGGAAAATTGCGTGAGGGTAGGAGGTGTGTCCACCCTGCTGTGCCTTTGCTGGGGATTCTGAGCCAAGTCGTGGCACGGGTTAGGCCAGTGCCTTGTCTTCTTCGCTGGGACTGCAAGTTGCCACCTGTTGCCACCTCAGCTTTCAGCATGAACGTGATGCAGCCTTTAAGATCCTGCAAGCTTTTGTGTGTTTAAAATGGGCCTTAGCTTCGTATCAGCCATTC